ATATATATATATATATATATATATATACCTTTATTAGTTTTATTCAAGCTGTAGAAGCCGTCTAACTGGCTGTTTTCTGCTGAGTAAGGCACTGAGATCACTGTTCAAGACTCATTTCGGCATTGAGGTCGACTTGGTTTCTAACGGTCTCTACTGTTTTATCTGGATCAGCCAGGTGTGGTGTGTCGATTTTTTCATATTTTAGAGGCTGCAGTCCGGAGTTATTCTGTATGTTTTGTTGCGGATGAGGCAACGAGTTAGGTGGGAGTGAATGGTTGTCACCGGCAGCACCTACTCGTGACTCTTCATTCTCACTCACAGCAAGTGCCTCGGAGGGATGACTAGACGAACTGGTTGCCAATTGTCGATTTCGACTTCCAAAGGATGCCGGGCCGCGTCTGCCGCGGTATCGGCGGGTCTCGACATCAGCAGATGAGGCGATAGGTTGACCTGGAGAGACGGTTGTTCCATTAATAGCAGTTTCTGAACTAGGCAGTGCTGTCTCGCGTCGATTCAGCCGCTGGCGCCTACGCCCTCCTGAGCGGTAGTCGTACCGCCGTCGTTGACGACTTCGTGTCTCAGGGCCCCCTCGGGGGCCTCGTACTGAAGAAGTACCGATGGCGATTCCGTCAGAAGTGCCGGTTGTTCGGCGAGGAGCACGAGTTGCAACAAAAGGCCGGGTGGGACTGTACTCATGAACGTCTGTATCCAGGCTTAGGGAGGTTATAAGCTCGGAAAGTCGGTCGCGGAACGAAACAAGTGATTCGAGAGGCACACCAATCACATTGCGATGCAGATCAGTTACCTAGATTATATGCATTCAATCATAATGAACTCAGTTGGTATGTCTACATTAACAAAACTGAACAGGTTAATAGTTATTCATTAATCCTAATGACTTGCAGGAAAAATCCTGCTTTAAATCACTTCGTGATGAAAATTAAAGCTATAGGCAAACACAAGGTCCATTAATACTTTAGAGGGCGCTCTAAACAATGTCAAGAAAGATTGAGAGGCTTCAGGAATAACTAGTGAGAAGGATGATTAATCAAATATATTACCTATAAAGTTAATCAACAAGTGACTAGCAAAAAACTTAGTCTTCAGAATTTTACAGTTGGCATATCTTAAATTATATAAATATTCTGACCACGTTTTAACAACTTGGTCGTGGTATCTGGGAGACTGCTGAGAACGTGATCCGTATTGTATATTCAACAACAGTAATTAAGAGTATTACCAGCAGCAGACAGCTAATTAGGCACATTCCTAGACATTTCACCAGCATCGTCAATGAACTCTGCAAACATTTACATGGACCAACAACTCGTCACCGAAGTCAAACCTCTGAGTAACTTTCTCCTGAATGGTTTCGGTGTCTCTCCTCGTAAAAAAATAAACAGAATTACCAAGGGAAAAGGAAGAGATAGCACAAACGTCAAGCAGAAAGTTGGTCAAGAGATGAGCCTAGCCAGAACTCTCAACGAGTTTTAGCTTGTTAGTAAAGTTGGCAAGGCTTACTGGTGATGCCGGCAAAAGGTCTGTGAATGTAGCCAGTCGATTGCCTGATGCATAAATACATGAAAACAATGGCAGGGGATGTTCTTAACCTTAGCAGGATGACCAAGTTGAGAAAACGAAATATAGCCAAAATAAATTATACAATATCTCGGTCGTTCGACCTTGGTTTAAATGATAGCGTTAACAAAGGATACTTGAGACCCTATATGTTTACATGATATGCAAATAGCATATTTCTAAACTATCGGTAGATCTTCATTAAGAAATTTATACACCTTGGGCCGCCTAAGTTGATGTAGGTGTAATAGATGAATATTACCCCCAATGAAGCAAGTGTACCTCAAGATGCAAGTGAATTTCATATAATTTTTTTTTAAAACCCTTCCTCATGGGAGACAAGACAAGGAGAAATCTAATTTCATCGTGAGGCGTATTCACCTAAAGTAAAGAAAGTTTTCACTAAATTGATATCCCTTAGAAGGATAGGATTAAAAATATGGAAAAATGAATAGAAAAAACAGAAGATATATGCGCAAAATAACTTGAGCCATCCATTAAGCTGAACAAAAGATACATTTCGAGAAATATTTCCCCACTAATTCCGTGCAATTTGACATGCTGTTTCGTATGAAAAGCTGGGTGACCTCATCGGTAGCTGTATGACTTTGGACCGCTGATTTGTGCATACAAGCACATTGTGACTCGACCGTGTTGAATCCGTGCCAAGCTTTCGTATGTTATATCACAGACATATTCAAAATCGTAAATTATATATACCCTGATGGAAGTCATAAGAAGCTAAGCCCGAAACGAAGAGCCTTTCTAAAGACTTGTTTCCGGCTTAATTGCGACTCATTGCCTATTGAGAATCAGGAACATAGTAAATTGGGGCGATTTTGAACAATAAATTCAGCGGAAATTGTGGAAAAGAAATAGGATAGATTTTTTCCTTTGCTAGTTTAAAGAGTATGTCCATAGCAATAAAAGAGTGATTTGATAAAGCGCTTCACAAGTTTTTATTCCCAAAAGACTATTCTAAGGCCGAAAGCTTTACTGATACTGCATACCTTTCTTGGTTGTAGCGCCAAATACCGAATTTCAGTCAAGATTAGCTCATTTTAAAATATATAGGAGCACTAAGTGTTGAGGAACATGATCAATCTACATTCCTGTCAAAAAGCTTAGTGCAGTGGTTAAGTAGCATTGAAACTCAACCGTCAATAAAGCAAAGGCCTAAATGCACCAGGCTAAAACAAATTTCGAATTTCAGGGTATATCATAATTTACTGATCTGTGCCATAATTTGGTTAGAGACGAGGGCACAGGTTGAGCCATTAATAAACGCCAAGAAAAAAGCACGTGGATTCGGAAAAATCGTTTAAAAATAAATTGCACTTACTGAAAAGTTCTTTTGCCCGATAACAGATCCTGAATATACAAAATCATTTATCCTATAAGAAAATCGGAATAAAAAATTTGATTGCTATTTGATGAGTATCACCCATTCGAGAAAAATTAGCAACTTGGTGAACGGAAGAACCCATCAGACGAAAATTAAGTTTGACAGTACTGTAAAATAACAGCAACTTACAGCGTGCTAAAGCAGGCTTTTTTCATTTACAACAGATCCACTTAAGGATATAACAATCTATTTTGCTATCTAAATTCTAGTTATGTTAAGTACATTTCCCAATGCGAAGTTAATTTCTTCATCTCATTTATGCGTGCTTAGTATGAGTCAGCGTTTTTGAATATGGATTTGAGTCACGTATCGTTTTATCTCTTGAGGATGAGTCTAAGTCGGCAAAGCATAGGATCTCCAACCAAAACATTAAATGCCTAATTAAAATAACCAAATTGGACTATAAGAAGTAGGTAGGTTTGAAGTCGGCAACCTTTCTTGTCTTCGTGTTTCAGTGAATTGTCGTTGAGCACGGTGTCCTACTCTGACGATGTCCATCACATGACGGACGTAGGTTCATCAAAGATTAAACGGAGCCGCAGAGCGGTACGCTGAGGACCTATTCGCACAAATATACAATTACGGCTCCAAGGCAATCTCCCTACAGCTTCGGATGAGACCAACTTACCAATCCTTTTCACCCGCCTCTTTAGAAGTAATGAAAAATAGTCCAACATCAAGACAAATTATGACCGAGGCCAATGCTAAGAATAAAGTTATATGATGCGTCAGCCATACTAATACAGCACACGTCGTAATAAAGCGTTTAGAAGTTGACGATTCCTACAAAGAAACTATGATAGAGAACAGAAGCTCATATACGTGATTGCCAAAAGCAGATATTCGGAACGAATTCTTGAGGGCTTTGAGAGTTCGCAGACTTAGGAAGTTCTTTTCGAAGATTGTATATGCGAAATGGTTTCAAATTTCGAGGATAGCGAGAAATATGGCTGAAAAAGCAATCGCTGTTATACCGATACTACTAAGATCAGGGTAACAATGATTATCTGTTCGTGTTATCCCCCTCTAAATTGACTTAACTTACGTAAGCTTGGTACAACACATTCAGAATGGCAATAGGTAAGTTAGTTGGTCTAATAAGAAAAGCTGCACTACTAATATTTCCAGTGATGTAATCCACTACCATTTAGAACTTTGACAATGGCGAAGATGGTGAGGTGTGGCTACTTATAAGGGAAGACCAGAAAAATAAGGCAATCGTGCATAGAAGCCATTATGTTAATACACAATCTGAAAATCTGTAAATGGAAAAACCTTCTGATGATGACATAATAAACACATAAGCACAGGTAACTATGCAGGAAGTGGCTAAAATTCAGTTTAAGCATGCAAAGGTTTAGATTGATGATTTGCCAGCTCCTTCACATTTATAACAGTGCTAGATTACGGTCTTTAACATTATCACACATACTGAAAAGTGAGAATAAGTACTAGATATTTGACAAAATCCAATCCTGAGGCACACAGTAAAAATTTTCATGTAAATATCCCATGGAGGCATTTCAGTTCCGAATGACAAACTAGATCCCACCTAATAAATAGGACAGAAAATAAGTCTTAAACATACATTTTCGCATAGTAGAACTGCTTGGATGAGGAATAGATCATAAAAGTAAATTCGATTCTATGTGAGAAAATCCCCATTGAATTACTCAAAAGCCGAGGGCCCGGGGAAGGCAAATGGTATTCTTTTTCGTTGATAAGTGGGTGTAAGAGGTTAACAGAAGATAATATAATGAGATGTATTCCCCTTTTTTCGTTAAGCTGATGAAGGAATAATAGTTACCTTTTCATATGAGTAAGCCTTACATTTCCATTTAATTTCACATAGCCCTGCTACTCAAAAGGTATTCTTATTCAGGTTGGAGTGGACTGTGGCTTCGAACTCGACTAAACTGGCCTTTTCAACAGCAGGACTCGAACTGTGATAATGCAACGAATAATCTCGACACGTTAACCTCTACGCCACACTGCCACGAGTGCCCTTGAGTCCCATAACAGATGTGTATTTCAAGGAAGACCAGACATTTTCCCATATCACATTCTGTGGTGGAATTGTCGATTAAGCAAAGGTTTATTTGCTATACCAATCGACTAAATCACTTATTTTTAGTTAATAAGTAAGTTTTCGAGGCTACCATTAGTAAGGTGTTTGGGATACTCGAGGTGCTACGCGAGGTCGAAACTGCAGTCCACCCTAGATGATAATACCCTTTGGGGAGCAAGGCTATGCGAAATTCAGTGGAAACGTAAGGTTTACTCATATCAGGGGAAAATCAAACTATCAGTCCTTCATCGCCTTAACGAAAGAGGGAGAACACATCTCATATAAATGGTTTCAGTATTTGCCGGTTACTTATCCATCACTGAAAAAGTAAAACTAATAAAATGGACACGAAAGCCAATGAAAGAAAGGTTCAAAAAATGGAAACGAAAGGCCATAGCAAGGCTAGAGCTCGTTTACTTCAAAATTAAATTTATATGAAATAAATCCTGGAAATCAACATCAGTATACTCGGATAACAAGGAGAGGTCTTCTACCTAACAAACTCATTATTTGTATCTGTGGAACAGACATGATGGTGTTAAATTATGGGTTGGCACCCAAACCAGACCCAATCATATGGGAGGAATGGTCGTGGAGAACAAGGATATCAGTGTTTATCACAGTGGGGAATTTTTATTTATCTTTACAAGTACTTTAAAAGGCTCTCATGGAGAACAGATTTGATAAAACTATTAAAGTGGGGATCATATAAGTGAGGAAGTTGATGCGGTGATTAAATTGCATAATCTCGTTCAAATATAAATTCTAGATAAAGTTAGACTATGATAAAAGCCTTTTGAGCTCAAATAATACTAAATAATAATAAAACGTAGCTGAAACTAGGTTTATTCGCCTACACAAATACTCTATCTCAAACTATATATCAGAATTGTGCTGATGAAAGCAAAGCATTATACTTATGAAATGGACGAAGTAAGCTCACAAATTAAATAAATAAATAATTGTATCAGGTGATTTATACAAAAAATAAATAAGCCCAGAATACCAAAAACGTCTCAACAACCAGCCATAACTTTCCTGAACTATTAATTGTTGACCTAAAAGCAGGTCTACAAAAATCTATCAAGACCTGATATCGTAGATTAAGTAAATGGATTAATTTATAGATGTACACACAGACTTGTGACCCAAATATGCTTTTAAGGCAAATAAACTTAGTCTTTGCTATTATACATTCCCGAACTAACTACTAGTCAATATATTCTCTAAATAAGTATAATGACGTAAGATTACGTTCCCGGCAACCATCAGATCTATTGCCTAGCAAATTCCAGGAAAATCATGTTTGATAGCCTTTTCCTAGTGCAATATTTTTATTCCTAAAAGATAAGTAAAATACAAACAGCCAGTACATGAAAAGTGCCCACTAGATTTGTTTTAAGGTGTCGAACTTTGACGATTAGCAAATTTTTTTATTAAAATATATGCACATTTTGTGAAATCCTATCCATTTTCCTTGAGAAACACAAACGAGCGAAGTTATCTATCTATTTAAGAGATGCCATAGAACGAGCCCCGTCACGCGTGGCTATAATGCCGAATTTCTGTGACGGTTGTGCTTATCCGTCTCTCTAATTCGGTGACAACCAGGCCCCCAAAGATTTACTGGTTTCTTTGAGCAGACTTCCCTCACTGAGAGCGTCTAGGCTTGATTTCTGAAATTTCCCCACTCTCTTCCTCCTTGCGATACCTTTAGGGGCCTGGCGGTCAGGCAAGTAGTGCGATGGATGAGCAGAACTTGTGATAGGGCGGGGGTGGGATAAGAGGGTAAGGATTAGATGGATGGGACGAAGAAGCAAGTGATAACACAACAGTTTCGGCAGAAAATTGGCCAAGGGATTGGCTTCACTCGTCTCTTAGACGAGTTATAGCTTGTTGCGGAGAACGGCAAGACTCACTGATGATTCCAACTACGATGTCGGCGAAACGTCTGAGAATGTAGCAAGTACATGGTCTGACGCTGGGAATTATCATAACTACTATGACAGAGGACTTCCGACAAGGTGCACCCAACTATATCGCCCTGATAACAAGACCAAGTTGCGAAAATGGGATCAAATTACTCCTATACATCGACAGTAGACTAAGACCATACCGATGGCCACACTACCTTGGTCTTCATATTTTCGAATAAAAAAGTATGCCTTTTCTTAAAGGATGTCCTAAGTGAAAGCCATTCTCTTTGAGTGTTAAAGCATAATTCGGTCATCTAGGTGGTCTAGCAATATTCAAAAATAGGAGTTTAGTACTCAGTATCAAATGGGTGAAAATTACTAGGGAATCTACAAATAGATAAAGTTAACCGAGCGTGGGGTTAAAGAAAATTTACTCCAAACTTAAGAATAGAATTTGGGAGTGTATGTTCAGGAAGAACAATTGTCATCATGTGGATCTCATATTCACAAGTAATTAAAGCCCCTCAAACAATGTGATAGCATGACAGCAAAATCAATTTAAATTGCGGCCTGCTTATAAAGACTCGAAATGGAAAGAAGAATCCCGCCCATAAGTTTATTCGGGTCGGTCCTAACAAAAATAAAGTTGTTAGCTTATAGAATAAAAGTTTCTAAAGAGGTGAGTGGGAGCTTATAAATTCCTGCACGATAGGTTGGTTTAGCCAAGCAAGAACTTGACGACACAAATGTAGCATAGAATAATCGTGACAATTTATGTCGGATCCTGACCACATTTGCCAGCATGGACTCGTCAGCATGATTGTTACAGCAAAAGGTAGGACTTCACATGCCCGCAGGCAAAGTCCTTGGTTCATTCTTGCTTTATCAAAGCCATCCTAACAATCCATAAGCATATATCGTCATAGAAATGTAGGGCTTAATAAGGGAAGGAGATTTCTAGACTAGTACTGGTTCAATAAGGAAAGTCTTGTTAACCGTGCTCGAGAGAGCATCCTTTGCGAAGCGCTGGATTTTAGGATGACATTAAATTGCGATCATGAGGCGTGCCATGGAGACAGGCCATGGGGTTTATATTAG